AGAGGATTGGGAGAATGTCATATGGTCAGATGAAACCAAAATAGAACTTTTTGGTAAAAACTCAACTCGTCGTGTTTGGAGGACAAAGAATGCTGAGTTGCATCCAAAGAACACGATACCTACTGTGAAGCATGGGGGTGGAAACATCATGCTTTGGGGCTGTTTTTCTGCAAAGGGACCAGGACGACTGATCCGTGTAAAGGAAAGAATGAATGGGGCCATGTATCATGAGATTTTGAGTGAAAACCTCCTTCCATCAGCAAGGGCATTGAAGATGAAACGTGCCTGGGTCTTTCAGCATGACAATGATCCCAAACACACCGCCCGGGCAACGAAGGAGTGGCTTCGTAAGAAGCATTTCAAGGTCCTGGAGTGGCCTAGCCAGTCTCCAGATCTCAACCCCATAGAAAATCTTTGGAGGGAGTTGAAAGTCTGTGTTGCCCAGCGACAGCCCCAAAACATCACTGCTCTAGAGGAGATCTGCATGGAGGAATGGGCCAAAATACCAGCACCAGTGTGTGAAAACCTTGTGAAGACTTACAGAAAACGTTTGACCTGTGTCATTGCCAACAAAGGGTATATAACAAAGTATTGAGAAACTTTTGTTATTGACCAAATACTTATTTTCCACCATAATTTGCAAATAAATTCATAAAAAATCCTACAATGTGATTTTCTGGATTTTTTTTTCTCATTTTTTCTGTCATAGTTGACGTGTACCTATGTTGAAAATTACAGGCCTCTCTCATCTTTTTAAGTGGGAGAACTTGCACAATTGGTGGCTCACTAAATACTTCCCCCACTGTATATTAAGCCCAAAAATCTAATTTTCATTCATTTTTACGATAGAGACTTTTGACTTTGTGACTGTGTTATCTAGTGGAAACCCAGTCTTCTTATGAAAGTGATGCAAACGGATACAAATAGTGGAATCATTCCATATTTGGACTAGGTAATGCTAAAAAAAGTTGGAATGTTGTTACATAATTTAAAATTAAGTGCATTCGGAAAGTATTCAGACCCCTGGACTTTTTCCACATTTTGTTACGTTACAGCCTTATTCTAAAATTGATTACATAACATTTTTTCCTCATCAATCTACACATAATACCCCATAATGACAAAGCGAAAACAGGTTTTTAGACATTTTTGCAAATGTATTAAAAATAAAAAACAGAAATACCTTATTTACATAAGTATTCAGATCCTTTGCTATGAGACTCGAAATTGAGCTCAGGTGCATCCTGTTTCCATTGATCATCCTTGAGATGTTTCTACAACTTGATTGGAGTCCACCTGTGGTAAATTCAATTGATTGGACATGATTTAGAAAGGCACAAACCTGTCTATATAAGGTCCCACAGTTGACAGTGCATGTCAGAGCAAAAACCAAGCCATGAGGTCGAAGGAATTGTCCGTAGAGCTCCGAGACAGGATTGTGTCGAGGCACAGATCTGGGGAAGGGTACCAAAACTTTCTGCAGCATTGAAGGTCCCCAGAAACATAGTGGCTGATGGGAATGTTTTAGTAAACTATTGGATAAACAAAGTTAAATCACAGACGTGACGAACATATAGTCAGGATTCTCTGTTGCTAGCCAAGAACTTGAATGGTTCCTTTAACTGGGCTTGGGTGTGTGTGTGAAGTGGGGATCTGACCTAGGGTCGAATTGCTCGCTCTTACCTAAATCCATGGCTGTCCTACCTTATCAGAGACTGAAACCAGACTGTTGCCTAATGCATCTCTCCTCAAACAAAGTAGAAAGAGCGGCACCAGAGTTGAACAGAGTTTAGACTAATCATGAGTAATTACAGCATGACAGGAGGGAAGAGAGGAGTGGGTTTGGGTACGTTTGAGAGATTGAGTGTGGACCTGTCATGTCCAACAATCGATCTTCAGGTCAAGCCAGGGTGAGCCGGGGTTGAACAGAGTTTAAAACTGAACATGATTGTTTTTGCATGACAAGGGCGTGATTGATTGTAATAATATTGTTTCTAAACTGAATGAAAGTCAAATTTAGCCCTATCATAGACTAAGGAAGTGGGCGGAGCGGTAGAGAGAGGGAAACTGAAGATAATGGTGTGGGAACCCAAGAGGGAGGGGCTTTGAGCTAGGATGTATGTGAATGTGACTATATAGACGGAGAGCGGAGAGGGAGACTGGAGGTGCTCTGCAGATCATCTCTGCTTACATTACTGTGTGTAATACAAAAACTCTGGAAGAACTTTGATTTTTAATAAGTATAGTGATAATTTACCACAACATATTCTCCATCATTCTTAAATGGAAGAAGTTTGGAACCACCAAGACTCTTCCTAGAGCTTTCCACTCTGCGAAACTGAGCAATCGGGGGAGAAGGGCCTTGGTCAGGGAGGTGACCAAGAACCCGATGGTCACTCTGACAGAGCTCCAGATTTCCTCTGTGGAGATCGGAGAACCTTCCAGAAGGACAACCATCTCTGCAGCACTCCACCAATCAGGCCTTTATGGTAGAGTGGAAGCCACTCCTCCTCGGAAGCCACTCCTCAGTAAAAGGCACATGACAGCCCGCTTGGAGTTTGCCAAAAGGCACCTAAAGGACTCTCAGACCATGAGAAACAAGATTCTCTGGTCTGATGAAACCAAGATTGAACTCTTTGGCATGAATGCCAAGCGTCACGCCTGGAGGAAACATGGCACCATCCCTACGGTGAAGCATGGTGGTGGCAGCATCATGCTGTGGGGACGTTTTTCAGCGGCAGGGACTGGGAGACTAGTCAGGATCGAGGGAAAGATGAATGGAGCAAAGTACAGAGAGATCTTTGATGAAACCCTGCTCCAGAGCGCTCAGGACATCAGACTGGGGCGAAGGTTCACCTTCCCAACAGGACAACAACCCTAAGCACACAGCCACAGGAGTGGCTTCGGGACAAGTCTCTGAATGTCCTTGAGTGGCCCAGCCAGAGCCCAGACTTGAACCCGATCAAACATCTCTGGAGAGACCTGAACATAGCTGTGCAGCGACACTCCCCATCCAACATGCCAGAGCTTGAGAGGATCTGCAGAGAATAATGGGAGAAACTCCCCAAATACAGGTGTGCCAACCTTGTAGCGTCATACCCAAGAAGACTCGAGGCTGTAATCGCTGCCAAAGGTGCTTCAACAAAGTACTGAGTAAAGGGTCTGAATACTTATTTTTAAAATACAATTGCAAACATTTCTAGAAACTTGTTTTTGCTTTGTCATTATGGGGTATTGTGTGTAGATCTGATGAGGGGAAAAAAACAATTTAATACATTTTAGAATAAGGCTGTAACAAAATGTGGAAAAAGTCAAGGGGTCTGAATACTTTCTGAATGCACTGTAGGCTATACGTCCACTAGGGCAGAAGGTTTCTGACCTGGAGCTCAATATGACCCACAAGGACATGGTGATTGTGACCGACAAGGATACAGAGATCACTGCAGACCTCGTCATCTGCTGCACAGGGATGAAAATCAACACTGCTGCCTAAAGTTCCAACCTGAGTAAGTTAATGCTGAGTAATAGTCTTTCTTGGCCACTAGGGGGAGGCTTTGTGCCATCTGTGATTCCAAGGCAGCCAAAACCCCATGATATACTGCTCAAAGCGCTGTTGATATAACTACTCCTAGAGAGTCCAAGATCTATGTAAAATAGTTTTGCTGGATATAAAACAAAAACTTGTTTTATTCATCACAGTAATGCCCATGAAAGCTAGCTGGTTAGAGAAACCATATATACAGTACCAGCCAAAAGTTTGGACACACCTACTCATTCCAGGGTTTTTCTTTATTTTTACTATTTTCTACATTGTAGAATAATAGTGAAGACATCAAAACTATGAAATAACACATATGGAATCATGTAGTAACCAAAAAAGTGTTTAAGAAATCAAAATATATTTTATATTTGAGATTCTTCAAAGTAGCCACCCTTTGCCTTGAACTGGCCTATTTAATGTTTGTTTTACCTGGGTACATACACATACTGTATGTTACATCATGATAACGAACCTCACTTGAAATTTAGCTCATTGGTCATGTACAGTAGTGGCTAGGCTAGCTATGCACATTTTTTTGGGAAGACTATCCAGTCCTAGCCTTAGAATATTGTGTACTGGGAGCAGTGGTGTAAAGTACTTAAGTAAAAATACTTTAAAGTACTACTTAAGTAGTTTTATGGGGTATCTGTACTTCACTATTTATATTTTTGACTACTTTTACTTTTACTTCACTACATTCCTAAAGAATATATTGTACTTTTTACTCAATACATTTTTGTGAAATTCGCACACTTATCAAGAGAACACGTGGTCATCCCTACTGCCTATGGTCTGGCGGACTCACTAAACACAAATGCATCTTTTGTAAATATTGTTTGAGTGTGCCCCTGGCTATCGGTCAATTTTTAAACAAGAAAATGGTGCCGTCTGCTTTGCTTAATATAAGGAATTTGAAATGATTTATACTTTTACTTCTAATTTTGATACTTAAGTATATTTTAGCAATTACATTTACTTTTGATACTTAAGTATGTTTAAAACCAAATACTTTTAGACTTTTCCTGAAGTAGTATTTAACTGGGTGACTTTCCCTTTGTTTTGTTACCCCTATTTTGTGATATCCACTTGGTAGTTACAGTCTTGTCCCATCGCTGCAACTTACGTATGGACTCAGGAGAGGCGAAGGTTGAGCACCATGCGTCCTCCGAAACACAGCCTGGGATCGAACCCGGGTCTGTAGTGATGCCTCAAGCACTGCGATGCAGTGCCTTAGACCGCTGCGCCACTCGGGAGGCCCGTGACATTCACTTTTACTTGAGGAACTTTCTATTAAGGTATCTATACTTTTACTCAAGTTTGACAATTGGGTACTTTTTCCACCACTGACTGGAAGTCATTCAGGTGGGTATATAAACTATTGTACAATGTGTATGCCTCAACCCTGTATTGTGCTATCTACATACATTTACTGTTGTTTCGCTGTTGATATTTCAGATGGATGCCTAGCAGGGAATGGGTCCCTGAAAGTGAATGAGCACCTGCAGGTGGAGGGTTATGACAACGTGTATGCGGTTGGGGGCAGTGCTAACGTCAACGAGCCCAAGATGGTCGTATCACGCAGGTCTCCACGCTGGGGTTGCTGTTACCAACATCAACAACAGTCTGATGGGGAAGCCCCTGATATCTTACACTACATGACCAAAAGTATGTGGACACCTGCTCATCGAACATCTAATTCCAAAATCATGGGCATTAATATGGAGTTGTTCCCCCCTTTGCTGCTATAACAGCCTCCACTCTGCTGGGAAGGCTCTCTACTAGATGTCGGAACATTGCTGCAGGGACTTGCTTCCATTCAGCCACAAGAGCATTAGTGAGGTCGGGCACTGATTTTTGGCAATTAGGCTGGCTCGCAGTCGGCGTTCCAATTCATCCCAAAGGTGTTCAATGGGGTTGAGATCAGGGCTCTGTGCAGGCCAGTCAAGTTCTTCCACACTGATCTTGACAAACCATTTCTGTATGGACCTTGCTTTGTGCACGGGGGCATTCTCATGCTGAAACAGGAAAGGGCCTTCCACAAAGTTGGAAACACAGAGTTGTCTAGAATGTCATTGTATGCTGTAGCGTTAAGATTTCCCTTCACTGAAACTAAGGGGTGTAGCCCGAACCATTATTCCTCCTCCACCAAACTATACAGTTGGCACTATGCATTTGGGCAGGTAGTGTTCTCCTGGCATCCACCAAACCCAGATTTGTCAGTCGGACTGCCAGATGGTGACGCGTGATTCATCACTCCAGAGAATGTGAGTCCAATGGTGCGAGCTTTACACCACTCTAGCCGACGCTTGGCATTGCGCATGGTGATCTTAGGCTTGTGTGTGGCTGCTCGGCCATGGAACAGTTATTGTGCTGACGCTGCTTCCAGAGGCAGTTTGGAACTTGGTAGTGAGTGTTGCAACCGAGGACAGATGATTTTTACGCGCTACACGCTTCAGCACTCAGCGATCCCATTCTGTGAGCTTGTGTGGCCTATCACTTCGCGACTGAGCCGTTGTTTCTCCTAGACGTTTCCACTTCACAATAACAGCACTTACAGTTGGACCGGGGCAGCTCTAGCAGGGCAGAAATTTGACGAACTGACTTGTTGGAAAGGTGGCATCCTATGATGGTGCCACGTTGAAGGTCACTGAGCTCTTCAGTAAGGCCATTCTACTGCCAATGTTTGTCTATAGAGATTGCATGGCTTTGTGTTCAGTTTTATACACCTGTCAGCAATGGGTGGCTGAAATAGCTGAATCCACTAATTTGAAGGGGCGTCCACATACTTTTGGATATATAGGGTATTTCCCAGGTAAGTTGGCCTCACTCTCCTCTTCCCTTTCCTCTCCTGTAAGCCCTTGTCCCGTCAGAATGTTATTGTTTTGACCTTGATCTCTGACTATACTCATCAGTATCGTACCAATCAATCTTCAAAACAGTTTTTCCCTAGTATTGTTTTTGACAAAGCTGTCAGTGCCTGTTCTCAGATTTGCCTCTGGTTCCTCTTTGATCCAACCAGATGATTGGAGGTAACATAGCACAGCACTGTAAATAACATTTTATCGTGGTTATCTGTCCAGCTGTTGTCCTGACAGGGAGTGTGACCATGCTGTTGGACATGGGCCATAATGATGGAGTGGGCCAATTCAATGGGCTAAGATTTTCCCGCTGCCTCATCACCCAGGGAAAGAGCAAGAACCTACTGCTGTGGAAGAGCTGGAAGGAGATGGGCCAGAAAGCTCCTTAACAAGCCATACAGAACATTCTGGAGCAAAGAGAGTGCCGGCACAGCCATGAATGAGTGCCTTACTCCGGTGACAGCTTTCAGATGGTTTGGTGTTCTTACATCTTGATATTAAACCAGTGGCATATCTGAAAATGTCTTTATATTTTGTAAAGTACATTGTATATATTTGCCATTTAATGCTAGTGTGTCTTCTTGAAACATTTTTCAGCATTTCATTATTATAAATCTGTAATTTGTTACAATTTAAATAAATGTTTAAACGTAAACAGAATTCTTCACCAGCACCACACCACATACTGTAAGTGCTGTACGAACATTAATAGCTCTCACTTACCTGCTTACTCATCAACTCTTTTCTTTCCATCTTTGTCAAAAATACTACACTGAACAAAAATATAAACTGAACATGTAACAATTGCAAAGATTTGACTGAGTTACGGTTCATGTAAGGAAATCAGTCAATTGAAATAAATTCATTGGGCCCTAATCTATGGGTTTCACATGACTGGGAATAGAGATATGCATCTGTTGGTCACAGATACCTTTAAAAAAAGGTTGGGGTGTGGATCAGAAAACCAGTCAGTATCTGGTGTAACCGCCATTTGCATAGAGTTGGTCAGGCTGTTGATTGTGGCCTGTGGAATGTTGTCCCACTCCTCTTCAACGGCTGTGAGAAGTTGCTGGATATTGGTGGAAACTGGAACATTCCGTCGTGCACGTCGATCCAGAGCATCCCAAACATGCTCAATGGGTGACATGTCTGGTGAGTATGCAGGCCATGAAAGAACTGGGACATTTTCAGCTTTCAGGAATTGTGTACAGATCCTTGCGACATGGGGCCGTGCATTAACATGCTCAAACATGAGGTGATGGGGGTGGATGAATAGCACGACAATGGGCCTCAGGATCTCGTAGCTTATGCCTGCCCATAACATAACCCCACCGCCAACATGGGGCACTCTGTTCACAATGTTGACATCAGCAAACTGCTAGCCCACACAACACACGCTGTCTGTCCAATACAGTTGAAACCGGGATTAATCCGTGAAGAGTACACTTCTCCAGCAGTGGCCATCGGTGAGCATTTGCCGGTTACAACGCCGAACTGCAGTCAGGTCAAGACCCTGGTGAGGATGACGAGCACGCAGATGAGCTTTCCTGAGACGGTTTCTGATAGTTTGTGCAGAAATTATTCAGTTGTGCAAACCCACAGTTTCATCAACTGTCCGGGTGGCTGGTCTCAGACGATCCTGCATATGAAGCCCGATGTGGAGGTCCTGGGCTGGCGTGGTTATATGTGGTCTGCAGTTGTGAGGCCGGTAGGACGTACTGCCAAATTCTCTGAAACAACATTGAAGGCGGCTTATGGTAGAAAAATGAACATTCAATTCTCTGGCAAAAGCTCTGGTGGACATTCCTGCAGTCAGCATAACAATTGCACACTGCCTCAAAACTTGAGACATGTGGCAATGTGTTGACAAAACTGCACATTTAAGTGGCCTTTAATCCCCAGCACAAGGTGCAACTGTGTAATCTGCTTCTTGATATGCCACTCCTGTCAGGTGGATGGATTATTTTGGCAAAGGAGAAATGCTCACTAACAGGGATGTAAACATTTGTGCACAACATTGAAAAAGAAGCTTTTGTGTATGGAACATTTCTGGCATCTTTTATTTCAGCTCATGAAACCACTTTACATGTTGAGTTTCTATTTTTGTTTAGTGTAGGTAAATTGTCCTTATGTAGCAATGAAAGCCAATACTGAATTACTGTACATTGGTCCTTGTTTTTCCCCCCATAATACTGTCACTAACCAACTGTAGTTACTTGGCTGTATAACTGAACAATGATTGAATACTTGAAAGAACTTGCCACATTTATATCTGACTGTAGCTAGAAATGAAAGTAGCTAAAAACAAACATCTCATTTGGGATACAAGTACAGTGCCTACTGCCACTGGCAACTACAGGGAGGGAAAAAAGTATTTGATCCCCTGCTGATTTTGTACGTTTGCCCACTGACAAAGAAATGATCAGTCTATAATTTTAATGGTAGGTTTATTTGAACAGTGAGAGACGGAATAACAAAAAAATCCAGAAAAACGCATGTCAAAAATGTTATAAATTGATTTGCATTTTAATGAGGGAAATAAGTATTTGACCCCCTCTCAATCAGAAAGATTTCTGCCTCCCAGGTGTCTTTTATACAGGTAACGAGCTGAGATTAGGAGCACACTCTTAAAGGGAGTGCTCCTAATCTCAGCTTGTTACCTGTATAAAAGACACCTGTCCACAGAAGCAATTAATCAATCAGATTCCAAACTCTTCACCATGGCCAAGACCAAAGAGCTCTCCAAGGATGTCAGGGACAAGATTGTAGACCTACATGGGCTACAAGACCATCGCCAAGCAGCTTGGTGAGAAGGTGACAACAGTTGGTTCGATTATTCGCAACTGGAAGAAACACAAAATAACTGTCAATCTCCCTCGGCCTGGGGCTCCATGCAAGATCTCACCTCGTGGAGTTGCAATGATCATGAGAACGGTGAGGAATCAGCCCAGAACTACACAGGAGGATCTTGTCAATGATCTCAAGGCAGCTGGGACCATAGTCACCAAGAAAACAATTGGTAACACACTACGCCGTGAAGGACTGAAATCCTGCAGCGCCCGCCAGGTCCCCCTGCTCAAGAAAGCACATATACAGGCCCGTCTGAAGTTTGCCAATGAACATCTGAATGATTCAGAGGAGAACTGGGTGAAAGTGTTGTGGTCAGATGAGACCAAAATCGAGCTCTTTGGCATCAACTCAACGTGTTTGGAGGAGGAGGAATGCTGCCTATGACCCCAAGAACACCATCCCCACCGTCAAACATGGAGGTGGAAACATTATGCTTTGGGGGTGTTTTTCTGCTAAGGGGACAGGACAACTTCACCGCATCAAAGGGATGACGGACGGGGCCATGTACCGTCAAATCTTGGGTGAGAACCTCCTTCCCTCAGACAGGGCATTGAAAATGGGTCGTGGATGGGTATTCCAGCATGACAATGACCAAAAACACACGGCGAAGGCAACAAAGGAGTGGCTCAAGAAGAAGCACATTATGGTCCTGGAGTGGCCTAGCCAGTCTCCAGACCTTAATCCCATAGAAAATCTGTGGAGGGAGCTGAAGGTTCGAGTTGCCAAACGTCATACTCGAAACCTTAATGACTTGGAGAAGATCTGCAAAGAGGAGTGGGCCAAATCCCTCCTGAGATGTGTGCAAACCTGGTGGCCAACTACAAGAAACGTCTGAACTCTGATTGCCAACAAGGGTTTTGCCACCAAGTACTAAGTCATGTTTTGCAGAGGGGTCAAATACTTATTTCCCTCATTAAAATGCAAATCAATTTATAACATTTTTGACATGCGTTTTTCTGGATTTTTTTGTTGTTATTCTGTCTCACTGTTCAAATAAATCTACCATTAAAATTAGACTGATCATGTCTTTGTCAGTGGGCAAACGTACAAAATCAGCAGGGGATCAAATACTTTTTCCCCCTCACTGTACTTGCTTGTTTACCAGGGTTATAGCAAATAGTCACAGGATTTAAACAGATTGCAAAAGAGACTGCTTTATTATAATACATTTCAAATATTACAAGGCCTTAGTTTGTCCGTTTTCATTTATAACACGTAGTACATGTCATGTCAAACACTTCAGATCAGGATCAAAGTAGAATTCATAGGCTGATGGCCATCTGCTCAATATGGCAATACATACAGATGAGAAACAGATCGTCATAATATTGACATAGGGTTGTTCAGCATCATTTGGCACATCTTAAAATACATTTAGCTTTTTCTGCTGCACATTTTAACAAAATGTAAATATAGCAATCAAATTCCACTGGCAAGTTTTGGTAGAGTGAAAATGGTGTTGAACTCTGAGCATAATAAAAGTATCTTGCTCAGCATCTCACCCCCACAGGTACAACATACATTCATATGCAATCCCTTTAATCTGTAAAGTAAGCCCAATAAATATGCTTAAATAAACAGAACTGAATTAACAGCAAGACAACAAATAAAGTTAACCATGTCAAGATACCAAATCGGTTTCCAGCTACTTAAAACAAAGCTCAAAACATCCCCTTTCTAAAAACCAGTCTTAATTTATTTTAGAATGAGGGACAAAAATACCTGACATTTCCACAGCAGAACAGGCTTCTCTTTTAGTTAGGAATTCCATTCAGGATACACAGCATTCTCACCAGATTGCCAGAAAGTGACAGTGAAACCAAAAACCACTCCTGTGATGCATCAGAAAAAAGCAACATGGCATCACTTGCATCCTAAGAATATACAAATAAATAACTTCATCTCTGGTGCAAAAATCGAATAATTGTGCAGTGAGAGACCATGGGAAAGTTGGACTTTTCCGGCACTATTCCAGCTGCCATCATACGATCAAATTAATTAATAAATACAGTTATATTATATGAACACCCAACAAGTAGCTGCTTTCAGAGGGATTCCTTCGAGCCAGAACACAACTACTCCTCCGTTCAAAAAAGTGACAAATATCTCAGTGTGAATTTTGGAAACAAGTTTAGAGAAACCGAAGGCCCACACCAACACCTAAGAGACAGTCACAATGAGATATGCTGATGTAGGCTAATCCAAGGTAATGAATGAGAATTGCCAAATATTGGGGTTGGGTATGGGCGTACCAGCTGTCTGTCCTCTTAGTAGTTAGTTGACAAGTTCATTAGAGCACCATTGAACTGTATGAAAACCAGTCGCACCAGTCTGAACAGAAACTCGCAGGGGATGCCATTACATGTGCCTTTTGAAAAGCACAGATCGGAACTTTATGATACAAAGAAAAAAATGTACGGCTAAAAACAGATGAGTCAACATCTTCATGAAAACATTTCTGGAAACACTTCAGACAGTGGATGTCACTTGACGGGTTCTGAAAAATAGTTCACTGCTGGTAAACTAATGGCATAAGGTGTATAGAGAATGGACAGAGACTTATCGCTGCCATTGTTGCGAAAAGCTTAAAAATGGACCGTGTCAGGCAATGTAGCAATCCCTCCCCCCACAATTTAGTCTTTCTTGGAGCTCTTGCCACCTTTGCCTTTCATGTAGGTCTGGTAGAAGAAGGAGGAGAAGAGGACCAGGTAGCTGAGGTACATGAGGGAGCTCCACACAATGTTGTTCAGGTAGGAGTGGCAGTCCCCCTCCTGCATCCAGTGGTAGACCAGCCAATTGACCGTCAGCCCCATGGCCATCTGAGCAATCTGGAAGGTGGTGATGACCATGGCAAAGGGGCGTGGCACACGGTAGCCGGCCGCCCGCACTGCGTAGTAGCTGTACATGAGTGCGTGAACAGAGTAGTTCATGGTCATGAACCAGCCGCCTCCAGCCACCTGGTCCTTGTAGGAGTACCAGGAGTAGAGCAGCACGGTAATGTGGTGGTACCAGTGCAGGAAGATCAACCGCTGCTTACGGAGCACAATGAATGCAGTGTCACCTGCGGAGGTCATGGAGAGAACACATCAGGACCGGCAAAGTTATGGTCCCAGCCATGCAGACACACTTAACATTTACTGCATATCTTTGACTAAGTTATATGGTTTGTCAAAAAATTAGACACTCATGGTAGAGTGGACAAAATACCAAGTTCAGACAAATGACTGGCAGTTCCATCCCCGGTTCTTACCCAGTTCAGGGCCTTTGCTCAGGACAAAGGCATAGGCCCAGAACTTGCTCACTGGCCCGTTGTAGAAGCTCTGGTCACATATAGACTGTCTGAAACCACTGGTGGAGAGGATATACAGCATGTACCATCCTGTTCGAATTGCTCCAATGATACTGCAATTAAAATAAAGTTAAGCATTGCACTAAATGGCAAGGGCAAAACTAAACAAGTTATACTAGCCTTGCATCACAGCCTTGCACAAATGAGTATTTCATAGGGATGGTTTGTTTTGAGACAGTGATAAGATTTAACACATTTTGGAAGGTTTTGTTTTGGGAAATCTGACCAACATTGGTCACCATCCCATTAGCCAGACACCTGTAATGACACCTGAGGGGTATACTATGACTGAAGCTAGATCTAAATCAGGGTTTTCTAAAGCTAGCTTCACATTCCAGCTCGGGTTTCATCCGCACTATGATGGTGGATATTGCTCGTCCGCTTGCCGCCAACTCTAGCAGGCTTATAACTGCATGTGCATGTCGCACGTGGCTAGTCGAACACCAAACTTTTCATTGAGACAATGCTGAAACATCAATCCATGGATGAGTTGGTGCCAAATTTTCATTTGTGCCAAAATCAAAATGAAAGAGGCTATGGTGTGAAATAGGCTTGTTGAAGTGCCATCTTTATTTGTATTATCTTTAACGCAGTCATTGGTGTGCTTATCAACGCACAAGCACCTTTTAAATCACCAAGCCTATCGATAAAATAATTATATTAAGTCATACAAGTTTCACCATGTGAAAAGTGTGAAGTTTCAATGCATTCTGTAATCACTAAATCTATGTGATAAATAGTAATATTAAAATACCTAACAAAAATGAAGGGGATGATGCAATGTTTGCGAGAGGGAGGGAATCTGATGTCTTTGGTCCTCAACTCACATGTCAGACACTTCAAGATAAATGGAGTTGGCCCCGAGTTAGCCTGCCCGTGAGCAGGTTAGTTCTGAAGGATTCGTTGCCATAGAAATGTACCTGGCTAAAAAGGTGAACCACTTGTGGTACCAGTTTCCGAGTTGAACTCTGAGTTCACTAAAGTTATGTCGCTAACTCCTCCAACCACGTACGTAGTATAGGGCTCGTTGACCCTGTTCCTGAAGAGCTACCCTCCTGTAGGTTTTAACTAACCCGATTCAGTTTATCAACCAGCTAATTATTAGAGTCAGGTGCGCTAGATTAGGGTTGGAGTGAAAACCTACAGGATGGTAGCGCTCCAGGAACAGGGTTGGAGAGCCCTGCACTAGGGAAACATATGTAGTAAGGTCACGTTGGTGTCTAGGAAACTGCCCTAACAAAGCAGTGCACATGTATGCTTAGTTCCACCACGTTAAAAGCAGCTCCATGAGGGTGCTTTTTGCACAAATAATGCATCATTTCAGCACAAATTGTAATCTTAAAACAGTAACATAGGAGTAAGATTTTTAAACGCTTAACAAATGATTGTGACAGCCATCTTTCTACCATCAGGATTGTTAACAGATGGATGCATAATGAAAAAGTGACTTGTTGGCAGATGTAAAACAAAAAAAGCTCACTATAGATTTGGAGCTTTGGGTATTTAAGTTTCCAGAGACATGACATGATTACTGTATTCATTCACTCAAATGTCAGCGGTAAATGTGGGTGTTCTGTGCTTTAACTCACCTGAAGATGGCCAGGCTGAGTGACCACAGCACCAGTGGTCTGCGCAGACTAAGTTTAGGCCTCTCCTTCATGAAATGTTGGCCTCCAAAGACCAGCACTGCATATAGGCCACAGAACACAAAGGCCTTGCTCCTGGTGAGAGAGAAACAAAAATCAACAATGTCAGTAAAAATGTCCTTAATTGTGCTCATGGCAAGGTTACTCAGCTGCAAAGGTATTTCAGTGATTGAGCACACCCTTTAATGAAGTGACGTTTTTACATACTCATGCTAAAGGTATTTAACATGGCACACCCAGTTTGCTATGGTGATAAGTGAAATGTATTGACTAAAGCAAATCAGCCCTAGCCACTTTGGTTAATCTTAGCTGGCTTGAATTTTTTTTTAATGTTACATTTGTACAAGAAACCATAAAATCTTTCTGCATGCAGTTTAGCTGACATTTATTTTTTACTTTTCTACTAGACATCCTGATTAAACCACTACTAGATGTTGATATTCTAATTTCAAAGCAAGAACAGGACAATGTGGCTGCTATTTGAATAATAAGGTGGTAAAGTAAATGGTATAATATTTGGCTTCAACCTTAGGCTGTCAGCATTGGGATGTCACACCTGACACTATTCAACTTATGAAGTGATCAAGGGCTTCAGCTGTCCTGTTCGACAACACGAACAAGATGAATTCATAATTATTTTGAAAAACAAACAATGTTATAACATACTCACCAGTTCTCCTGCATCCATTCGATAGCGCCTCGCTCGTCAAATTGCTGCTCGAAACCATATTGGGAAAGTGGTAGTTGATGATATTCAGTCTTATTCATTTTCGAGCTTACTCACTCTAAACTAGGCTATGTAGAACTTATTCTCTGTGATTTAAAACCCCCAGTAGATAGTAGACTACATAGACTAATGTTTGTTAGATTGGTCCTAAGTGAAAGCACACAGGCGTGCTCTCCACCACTACTTTACTCGCACCTGATTTCATTTACGCGCAAATAAAACCTTTTCTATATACGGGCGTGGACTATGATGGCCTTCTGCCCTGCCCTCTCTCCTCCCACTGTGGGAGGATACTTTGGGGATTTTGGTTTCGACAGAGGTCGTCATAAAATGCTTAGCAAAAGAAAACCTCACAGAAGTAATTGTAGGCCTATAATTGATTATTCAGGTATGCTAACTTTGTAGGCTACAGATTATTACTTTGTAGCTGCGAAAATGCCGAGGCATGTGGCAGACACAGACAATTGTGCCGCGGATAATTGGTTGCCAGATTTGGTCAGATAGATCTGAACATGTCCAAAGGCTTTGACCCCATAGTACAAAATTATAACCTGGCAACTCTGCCGAATTTGAAAAGATTCTTTGAGCAGACAATTTGATAGATGTCATAAATAGTGACGACAGTTGGTTACCGCGCCAACGGGCAAGCTAGGCACATGAAATAGCTCCAGAATGTTCAATTTCCCACACACTTAATTGTATAACACACAGCTAGTCAGCTAGTAGTTTGAGTTGTAATGTTTACTCATTGTCTTTGAAAATTTGGCTATATTTGTAATCAAAATGGCACAGCGCGCCCACAAGGAAGGGCTGTGCAATATCAACATTTTATGTTTGGCATTTATTTTCTGTCTCATAAGGCCAGTTGATGCAAAGCCACTTCCTGCAAATGTTTTGCCTTCTTCATCCTCGCTGGAGCACATGACTTTGATCAACCCTGTTCAGAACAACCCCGATGTCACAACTCCAAAACAAACCAATTTTTTAAACACATTGCTTGGACAATTTGAGAGTTTGCTGGTGAAAGGTGAGACAGGAATCCAGAAATTAGCCTAGGCCTAGCGTTAACAGAGAGAAGTCAGAGAGGCAAATGTCTAAGCTTGAGTTGGGGCAACATTTGACATTTACCTCTGATTTTCCACAGATGGTACTTCTCCAGGTAATGTGGACCAGGTGACTCAAGGATATCCCGAACCCTACACAAATGCTAAAGACCCCCAGAGGCATGTGAAGGCCCTAATGTCTGTTCTACAGACTTACAAGACGCAAACAGCATCACATGGTGATTTGCCCTTTATTCTGTTCCTACTCTTTGTGTGAATGCGCAAACCTGTGTGAATTTCACAATTGTTGAATTGTAAAATCCATTGTGAAATGGATTTTGAAATGGATTGTACATTTTGTTCCGATGCAGGTAATGATCACGTCTTCAAACTGTGGGGAAAAGCTCCAAAAGCAAAGAAGAGCACCAATGAAATCAAATCCAGAGTCAACATATTGACAGACCCCACTTACTCCGAGCCACTTGTGAAAGTTAACATGATTTTGGGCATCTTTTTCTACGGCTTCATCGTGATAGGTAGCTACATAACATTTTGCTGTCTTTTTACTGCATGGAAATGTATTGTTCTGCTTCATGAGTTGATATTGACATAGCTATAATGTAGAATGTTCTGCTTTGTATGTTAACATGAGCAACAGCTGGGGTTTGTTCCAGCTACAATGTTATCGTGTTTGTTCTGTGCCTGGGACTTTTTCATCAGTGTTTATCTATGACTCTGTCCGAGTCTCCATGGAGGCCAGAAGGAGATCTGATGCTCTAGCTGCTGCCAGGCTGAAGAGAAAAGAACCACCCCCTTTTGAACCACAGTCAACTTTATCCAAATGTACAATCTCTATGATACCTTACTCTGTGTGCCGTTAACTTGCTTGGGGCTTACATTAGTAATAAACATATCTTGCATTCAAAATCTAGGCCTATGTGAAAGTTGTTTTTGGTATATATGATTACTTCTATTTTAATTTATTTCTTGATTACTTATTAAAATGTAAAAAGAGAATGGTAAAATATTAAATTAACATTGTTTGTTAGTTACAAATACAATTGTGTTGTAAATGCTGTACATTATTTCCATTATTATGTTTGTTTTTAAGACTGTTATTATGCAAAAATCAATATAGCAATATTATACTGTTGCTCATTTTAGGTTTCCTATGTGTTAGTTAGGCCTAACCTTTTTCCCAAAGAGAGATATGACTTATCTCCTCTGATGTCATAGGAGCTCTATTAAACAATATTTATCCAACAGCTCCCTAGTTTACCATACTATACACCACAGGAGGCTGCTGAGGGGAGGATGGCTCATAATAATAGCTGGAACGGAGCAAATGGAATGGCATCAGACAGCCATTATTTATTGAACATTTGAGCCCATCAAGCTAATCTTCCCCTTTTGGCATAGCTTATGAATGAGCTGTAGTTTATTACAGTGTATGTGACATTCCTATGATGACAGAGCAACAGAACCTACCCAGTTAAACAATGTAGTTAGCCTGGTTCTGTTTTATCTTAATTACCATTCTTCCAGAAGAGCCTAGTTCTTGGAAAGGATTTACTTCGTCAACCTCAGGTTGGTGTCTCAGAGATCAATAATGTCTCATATACTGTAGGAATACGCTGACCACATGATTACATACAAAAGTGGGGATGAAAGTGAGAAATGCTTCCATCTGCTGGAGAAGACTATAAAGAGGTTGTCAGCCACGGTATCTGACTGGTTCATCAAGACTCCTTGGGTGTGTAATCATTAGTCCAAACCGTAGCAAACAATTGCATTTTGCAACGAAAACTAGAGTTTCTATTGGTCAAATTCTGTTAGGTCCCTCCCGTTTTTTTCCCTTCCGTTTTCTTCAGTTTGGTTCTGTTTGGTTCCTAGTGAATAGGAAACAGTGAGTGATGAGATGAAAAAGTATTGTGGGTTGGATACAAATAGGCCTAGTATTTTGAAAATCTGGTTTAGGAGAGGAATAATTAAAAAATGTCATTTACAGGCTAGAATGGGCTCCCTAGGGTGTGATTTCTGTGCACCAAGCCAATCTGCAGGGCTTGTGGGCTGGGTGAGAGTCACCTCTGTGTGCAGCAGAAAACACCATATACATTCCCACTATTCAAACAGGGCTGAGGTGTGGGTGGTTTTTTCAGGGAGACCTATACGTGGGTGGTTTCCCTCTCCGAGCACTAAACTTACTTCTGACAGGCCACAGCAAACTACACACCAGTTTTTGCACAGAAAGAGGATATAGAGAAAGGAGAGGGGCTTTGGACAGGGCTTAGTGGAGTTTTTATATGAGAAGTTGTGTTTGAAAAACCATGAGTTATGGGTGGCCTTACACCTTTACATAGTGCATATCATGGTTCACTGCTGTTTTCCTTCAGCTGAGCTCAGAGGAACAATAAGTGTGTAGTGATGAGACAGTAGAACAGGGGTCACAGAGGGAGATTTAAGAAGGATTCCCCAGTGAGTGAGGTTGTTTCCACCCAGCCACTTCAGCTCACGGTCCTCTCTCATAGCATGTCCAAAACTGAAGAATAATGCAATGTCATCGTGGCTTTAAACGAATGACAGGGAATTGCTTGAGGGATGCTTACATTACACTTGGGCTCTGCAATGCCTGGATAGCTATAGAGGGGATGAGACCGGTACAAAAAGATGGTTTATTTACTGAGCAAAAGCTGTGAATATTATTATGGGACTATTACTAGTAGGCTATGTGGTCAGAGTGGATGACTCATCCCAGGTAGCAGCCATGGCAACATGCTGCAGGTGAGAGATTATTTGTATTTGTCTCTGTTCTATCTACAGTGCATTCAGAAAGTATTCAGACCCCTTCACTTTGTCCACATTTTGTTAAATTACAGTCTAATTCTAAAATTGATTAAATTGTTTCTCCCCCCTCATCAATCTACACACAATACCCCATAATGACAAAGCAAAAACAAGTTTTTATAAATTTTTAAAAATCTATTTAAAAAAAAGTTATAAATGAAATATGACATTTACATAAGTATTCAGACCCTTTACTCAGTACTTTGTTGAAGCACCTTTGGCAGCGATTACAGCCAAAGGTTGTCTTCTTGGGTATGACGCTACAAGCTTGGCACACCTGACTTTGGGGAGTTTCTCCCATTCTTCTCTGCAGATCCTCTCAAGCTCTGTCAGGTTGGATGGGGAGCGTCGCTGCACAGCTATTTTAGATCTCTCCAGAGATGTTCGATCGGGTTCAAGTCCGGGCTCTGGATGGGCCACTCAAGGACTTTCAGAGACTTGTCCTGAAGCCACTCCTGTGTTGTCTTGGCTGTGTGCTTAGGGTCGTTGTCCTGTTGGAAGGTGAACCTTCACCCCAGTCTACGGTGCTGAGCGCTCTGGAGCAGGTTTTCATCAAGTATCTCTCTGTACTTTGCTCCGTTCATCTTTCCCTCGATCCTGACTAGTCTCCCAGTCCCTGCCGCTGAAAAACATCCCCACAGCATGATACTGCCACCACCATGCTTCACCATAGGGATTCCTCCAGACATGACGCTTGGCATTCAGGCCAAAGAGTTCAATCTTTGGCAATCAAAAATGTCTAAAAACCTGTTTTTGCTTCGTCATTATGGGGTATTGTGTGTAGATTGCTGAGGAAAATAAATACATGTAATCCATTTAAGAATAAGGCTGTAACGTAACAAAATGTGGAAAAAGTCAAGAGGTCTGAATACTTTCCGAATGCAAGTCGGAACTGTTTTGATTGATTTACTTTTGTGTGGTATGTGTGAACATGTGCCAATAATTGTGTGGTGGAGTCGGTGGCTAGGTAAGCACTCATTATGGTCACACAGTGGGTGGTGTAAGGAGATATGGATGAAGGAGAGGTGGACTCACTGGAGACAGAACCTCAGAGGAGAAAGAGGGTAGAATTGATGAGTTGAGATGTACAGTACAAGAAGAGAAAGAGAGAGAGGGAGAGAGAGAGAGAGAGAGAGAGATGTGAGCGTCAAATTATGTAGACAGGCCCAAATGTGCACAGTTTACCCCAGGCAATACCCACACAACATGTTTAGGCAATACTCAATATGAAATCCGCTCAATGCAACGAATGTCATCTATGCAAAACAGCGAAGTTTATTAACTACCCCCTGTGTGCCTTAGTATAGGGATTATACCCATGATCCCCACCACATTCTTTTTGCCATGTTTTAGTGTTTGATCAGGTGCCAACAACGAGTCTACGGTAAATTAGCAAGGTCATGGAAATTGTTAAAAGCTTTTAAAAACAATTCTAATACATGCAACATTTGAACAATGGATGAAGATACTCCAAACGTTTAGAATTGTATAATCCATTCGATATTGACTAAATTATAGCACATAAAACATTTTATTGGCACAGACAAATAATGAATGGAGTTTTTTCTTAGAATGCAATCATATATACATTTTCTTATATTTTGTGTTCAAATAAAGAAAATTATGTGTGCCTCATTTGCATAAATACCATGGGTGTATTTACATATATGAGAACATTAACATAAAGGGGTGGAACAGGGCTGCAACCATCAAACGCTCTGTCTACCGTACCTGCACTCACCTGCGCTGTCTAGAATGCCTCATTAGGTACTGTTGTTTTCATGTTCTGTTGCATAATTCAACAAGTGTGTCAATAGCAGGATACCCTTGGATAAAAAATAAACACTTGGCTCTAGATTACAACTATCTAAACATACTTTGCAATGTTTGCAAGATCAGACATAATATAATATGAGTGTTCATTTTCAGAAGTTGCTTTCAGTTCAGCACATCTAATTTGTAAAAATGCCAACTGTATTAAATCATTACTTTTTTCAATTCCACAAAAAATGAACACCCATCAAAATAAAGTTATCTTGCTTCTCTAAAGCAATCGATCCAGCGAGATTTAAGTGACAAGTGTATTTTGCACCCCTTAAACACAGGAAATACACTATATATACAAAAGTATGTGGACCTCCCTTCAAATTAGTGGATTCGGCTATTTCAGCCACACCCGTTGCTGACAGGTGTATAAAATCGAGCACACAGCCATGCAATCTCCATAGACAAACATTGGCAGTAGAAAGGCCTTACAGAAGAGCTCAGTGACTTTCAACGTGGCTCCGTCATTGGATGCCACCTTTCCAACAAGTCAGTTCGTCAAATTCCTGCCCTGCTAGAGCTGTCCCGGTCAACTGTAAGTGCTGTTATTGTGAAGTGGAAACGTCTAGGAGCAACAAAGGCTCAGCCGTGAAGTGGTAGGCCACACAAGCTCACAGAACGGGACCGCCAAGTGTTGAAGCACGTAGCGTGTACAAATCGTCTGTCCCTGGTTGCAACGCTCACTACCGAGTTCCAAACTGCTTCTGGAAGCAAAGTCAGCACAAGAACTGTTCGTTGGGAGCTTCATGAAATGGGTTTCCATTGCCGAGCAGCCGCACACAAGCCTAAGATCACCATGCGCAATGCCAAGCGTCGGCTGGAGTGGTGTAAAGTTCGCTGAAACGCGTTCTCTGGAGTGATGAATCACGCTTCACCATCTGGCAGTCTGACGGACAAATCTGGGTTTGGCGGATGCCATGAGAACGCTACCTGCCTCAATGCATAGTGCCAACTGTAAAGTTTGGTGGAAGAGGGATATAATAATAATAATAATAATATGCCATTTAGCAGACGCTTTTATCCAAAGCGACTTACAGTCATGCGTGCATAATTTTTTTTGTGTATGGGTGGTCCCGGGGATCGAACCCACTACCTTGGCGTTACAAGCGCCGTGCTCTACCAGCTGAGCTACAGAGGACCACAGGGACCACAGGGATAATGGTCTGGAGCTGTT